AGAAGTCAAAGAATTGGAAACCAGGAAAGGAGAGAATGAGGAATAATTTAGAGTATCAATTTGGATAGTTCAATAGCCAAGTTATAGAAATTTCAGAAAGAAGAAAGAAAATGGAAAGAAACAAACTAGTAAAAACAGTAACAACAACAAAACATTTATAGAATGGAATGTTATGAATTTCCAGATGAAAAAAGGTCCACCAAGTGGGGATGAAAAAAGACTCACATTGAGGTGTAAAGTGGTAAAGTTTCCAAACAGGGTTAAAATAAGACCTTGAACATTTCCAGAGATTCAAAAAAAAAAAAAAAAAAAAAGTCATAGGCAAAGAAATGGGAATCTGAAAAGTCTAGAACCTCTCAAAACCAGCACTGGAAGAAAAATTATAGAAAAACAATGCATCACATCAAATAATTTAAAAAATAAAACAATGCATCCACATTGTTTTTCTGAGGGAAAATCATTCTCAACCTGGAATTCTGCACATAAACAGGCAATCGAGTGTGATGGTAGAATAAAGGAGTTTTCAGGTATGCAAGCATTGAAAAAATTACCTCTCTATATACCCTTTCTAAGAAAGGTACTGGAGGGTGTATTTCAGGAAAATGAGGTGCAAACCAAAATGAGGATGGCGTGGGATGCAGGACAAGGTGATCCATCACATCAGAGCAAGGCAGGGAAGACCCAGGCCTGCACCAGGCCTGGAGAGCAACCAGTCCAAAACCACAGCAAGAGGGCAGAGGATCACAGAAGGCAATAGACATAAAAGATTACTCAATGTATTAGAATGTTTAAAACTTGTCATAGATATTTGACAGAACTGTTAGAGTACTTACAAAAAATGAATGATAAGTAAATAAAAAACTAAGCAGATTAAATAAAAGCAAAACCAGAACCATTATTAAAACTTCAGGGAAAAGAAAATTATACAAAGAAAGGAAGCAATCGTAGTTCATTACGGTTCTGTAGGAAATAAAATTTACATATGTCTAATAATATGAATACTGACTGTTCTAACTACATTCAGTAGGTGAAGCAAAAGGGAGGGGAAAAAGCAGAATGTAAGAAAACTACACCCTCAAAAGGAAGCCAGTAGCCTGCCATGAATGAGTATGTAAGTGGCTGTTTGTGTGAATTATTTAGCAATATGGAAATAAATAGAGGAAATAGCTAAAAAGAAAAGCTAAGTGCAGTGATCTCCCGTGGGTGGGATGGTGGAGTGTGGGGAGATGGCACAGGAGCTGTTTTTCAACATAAGCCTTTTAATTTTGTTATAACTTTGCACAAATGTTATTTTGATACATGCAAAAGCTAATTAACATAGTGCTCATTGGCACTGTGGTGTATTAGTTTGCTAGGACTGCCAAGACAAAGTGCCACAAACTGGGGGCTTAGACAACAGGCATGTATTGTCTCATAGTTCTGGAAGGTTGAAGGCTGAGGTCAAGGTATGGACAGGATTGGTTTCTTTCTTTTTTTTTTTTTGTGAGACAGGAGTTTGCTTTGTTGCCGAGGTAGAATGAGTGCCATGGCGTCAAGCCTGCGGCTCACAGCAGCCTCAATCCTGGGCTCAGCATCTGTGCTCAGCCTTCTGAGTAGTGGGCACGTATAGGCATGTTGCACCTGCCAGCTAATTTTTTCAGTTATTTAGTGGCCAATTAATTTCTTTCTTTTTGTAGGAGACTGGTCTCGTCTTGTCAGGTGGTTAAATCATGCCTGGAGCAATTGGCTTGCTCGGACCTCAGGTGCTAGATTACAGGGCATGAGCTACTGCACCGGCCGATTGGTTTCTTGGTGGAGGGCTGTGAGAAAGAATCGATGTCGGCCTACCTCTTTGGTTGTGGATGGATGTCTTTCCCTGTTTGTTCACTGTCTTTCTCTAAGTGTGTTTGTGTTTCAATTTCCCTTTGTAAAGGACACAGTCATCTGATTAGGGCCCACCTTATGATTCAGTTTACCTTGGTCACCTCTGTAAAGACTGGTATTGTCAAACGACGATGATTCTGAGGTAAGGTAGGATTCACTTAGGATTTTGGGGGACAAATGGGAGGAGGGTGGGCACTTCAACATGTACACTTGGGGGATTGTCGTTGACCAAAGTCTCTGGTGGAAATCGTCTTAATGTTGGCGTTCTTAACTTTTTTTTTTTTTTTTTTTTGAGACCAGAGTTGTTACCTGTTGGCGGGGTGAGTGCTAGTGTCAGCCTAGCTCACGCACCTCTCTGGTCAAGTATCTTCTGGGCTCAGCTACGAGTGCTGAGACTACAGGCATTGCACCACATGCCGGCTAATGTATGCTATTATAATATATTACTATTATAGTATATATATACTGGCTATGTATAATTATGTCTTTTCGTTGGCAATTTTTTTTCTATTTTTTGTAAGGCAGGGTCTACTCTGCTCAGGGTGGTTCGAACTCTGACCATGGAGCAATCCGTACTTGGCTCCCAGATGAGATTACAGGTGTGAGCCACCACGTCTGGCCCGATTACTTAACTTTGACTGTGAGCCCACTTGGAGTCCTGGGAGGTCTTGCCCTGTGTGAAACACTTTAAGGGAAGTGACCCTGACTCAGAAGCCACCTCCCTAGCAGTCTTCTGGGAGAGAAAGGGCCACCACAGGAAAGATAAACACCCACGTTTAAATAGGAATAAAAAGAGATGGCAGGCTGGGCACGGTGGCTCACTCCTGTAATCCTAGCACTCTGGGAGGCCGAGGCAGGCGGATTGCTTGAGGTCAGGAGTTCAAAATCAGCCTGAGCAAGAGTGAGAACCCGTCTCTATTATAAATACAAAGAAATTAATTGGCCAACTAATATATATAGAAAAAATTAGCTGGGCATGGTGTGCATGCCTGTAGTCCCAGCTACTTGGGAGGCTGAGGCAGAAGGATGGCTTGAGCCCAGGAGTTTGAGGTTGCTGTGAGTTAGGCTGACGCCATAGCACTCACTCTAGCCTGGGCAACAAAGTGAGACTCTGTCTCAAAAAAAAGAAAAAATGAGATGGCAAAACCTCCACACTTTGGTTGCATACATTGTGTATCACTGCATGTTTTATGGAGTAGAAGATCAAAGATGGGACTGCACAAAAATTTGTCATTAAGGATCTTTGTTGGGAAGGTTGGAGAAGCAGAGGAGCCCTTTAGTAAAGATGGATCTTTATAATCTCCTCACTCAATCCTGTATTGTCTAAATAGCCTGAATTAGTGTCCAGTTGTTTCGTGACTAGGAAGCAAATCCTTACAACTGTAAGTGTCTTTAGGCCTGGGCCATAAGCGCTGGCATGGATGCAGGACAGTGTGTGCCATGTGCTGTTTTAACCAGCATGCACCTTTTAACTGACTTAGTCCTTGTTCTAATCCTAGGAGGCGGCTCCTGTGATTATCCCAGTGTCAGGGCCTCCAGAGCCTGTGCTCTGAGCAACCTTGCTGTCCTCAGCCCTCACTCACAGCCACTGCAACCCAAGCAAAATGCTGGCCTCGCAGTAGGAGTGAGTAAACCAGCAAAAGGTTTATAACTCATTGCTCAGAGAAAGAATGTTCAATTAACTATGAAGTTAATACATGTGAGATTTATACTGAACGTCTGCAGTCTCATTGGATGACCTCTTCAAGCTTCCCTGGCTGATTCTTTTTGTTTGTTTTTGAGACAGGGTCTTGCTCTGTTACCTGGGCTGGAGTGCAGTGGTGTCATCATAGCTCAAAGCAACCTCCAACTCCTGGTGGCTCAAGCGATCCTCCCGCCTCAGCCTCCCGAGTAGCTGGGACTATAGGTGTAAGCTGATTCTTATTGCATATACTGAGAAAAGAGCCTAAAAGGAAACCTGGAGATAATGTTGACATTTATATTTCATCATCATGCAAGGTGCTCTGGGAATTCAAGAGACAAGGCTGCTGTTGGTTAAATCGGCTTCAGAAGTATCCTTTGATCTTTCAACTCACTAGTGGGTAGTTCTACATATATAAAATAAAATAAAATTTAGCAGAAGAAAAGAGTTATAAGACCCATGACATTTAACAGAACACAGAGTTATGTATGGGACCCCATAATGTGATTCCCAAAATTTGGGGGAATAATAAGAAAATGCCAACATCTAAGACTGAAGCCAATAGTACCATGTTAATGGAGTGAGGTTCATCATTTGCAGAAACCATCCACCATGAGATATGATTTATAAAAGTTTTCATAAATTTGAATGTATAGAGTGATTGTCATGGAAACTTCAATCTTAGTTTTAACTAGACTGGATCAGAGTCATGTGAAATTAAATGTGCAAGGGCATGCATGTGTGAATGTTAGTCTTGGGGTGTGTGTGTACGTGGGTGTTTTAGGGAGGGGAGTTTAGAGGGGTGTTTAACCTGCATGGAGTATGAAAACAGGAGCCTCAAGATAGGAATTTGTCACTGTGACTCCAACTCTGTTCATGGCTTGTGGGTATGGCTTGTGATGTGTGGGGGTGAGGTGTGGTGCGCTGGGATGGGATGGTTTCCACGGTGGCCTGGTGTTTCGGTGGAAGGGGTGTGGCTTGGTGGGGTGAGCTGGCAAGTGGTTTGATGTGGAGTTGGTGAGGAATGAGCCTCCATGAGACCCGAGGTTGCCCATGGGTGTTGATTATGTGGGATATGGGAGGTGGGGGTGCTGGAAAATGTGGGTGTGGGGGAGGGGCTAGAGAGTAGATACAGTGTGCGTGTGTGTGTGCGTGTGTGCGTGTGCGTGTGTGTGCGCGCGTGTGTGCGTGTGTGTGTGTGTGTGTGTGTGTGTGTGTGTGATATGGTTGTAGCTTAGTTTAGCTTTTGTTTAGGTTTTCTTTTGCTCTTTGTTTTGGTCTTTGTTTTTGTCTTTGTTTTGGCCTTTGTTTTGTCTTTGTTTCACTCTTTGTTTAAACTTTCTTTGGCTTTTGTTTGGTCTTTCTTTAGCCTTTTGTTTAAACTTTGTGTGGCCTTTTTGTAGTCTTTGTGTAGCTTTTGTTTTGAAGTGGATCTTGGCTGAGGACCCATCAAAAACACCTTGTGTAATGAAAAACCCAGGTCTATAATCTGTCCCTATATATTCTGCATGCATTGAGCTAGCCCCAACCCCTCAGGGACCCGGTGCAGACGTGGAACCTGTTTCACTCAACAACTGCTATTGGAAGGTAAGAGGATTCCACTGGTTCTTGTTTTGCTCCATATTGTACTTCACGTGGCAGGTGTGCATCTATGCATTGGCCATTTCATTAAATCCCAGGGAAAACTTGCTGTAATAGCAGTCAAGATTGACAGGATGTAAAAGGATGGAGAAAACAAGAACAGAGGACACCATGTTTATTCTGATGTGGGCAGATGGCCCTCCTGGGGTGTTCCTGCTAAGTTTGGGAGCTATCTGAGCCTGAGGAGAGGCTCTGAACCCTGACTCAGATTCCCTCGGGTTCAAAGCCCTGTGTCACTGGAGCTAGATCAAGGGTGCTATAGGCTTCTTCCCGCCACCCCCAATTTTGTCTTTTACTATTTGTTTTGATTTAAAAATGAGTGTTTCTTCTTATCTAGGAACAACTTCTTCCCTCATACAGTTGGATTTATGTGTGTTGGATACTAATGGAACAACCAAACCCAAATCGTCTTAGAATTCTGCTCCCTGTAGACTAGCAACCTTGCGTGGAGAGACAGTAATGCTTTGTCTGCTACAGAATCTCTTAACAAAAATCACAGGGAGTTTTCAGTTCTGTGGTTGACAGAAAAAGGAAATTATGTGTCAGGGAAATAAACTCATAAACTTGGCTAGAGTATTAGGAGGAAAATGGGGGAAAGGATTTTTAATGATTTGTTTAAAAAACAGAGAGGCAGGAAACAAACTGTTCCTGGGTGTGCAGATAGGCTGTTTTGTGATTATTTAGAATGGCAGGGATTTGGTGAGTGGATTTCAAAATTTGTTTCAGATTTACAGTATAGTTTCAAACAGTACAAAAAAATTACACAAATGTTAATGTTTTACTGCATTTATCATTCACTGTCTCTTTCTGTATCCACGTGTATATATATATATACATATTATATTTTTCTGAGTCATTTGAGGTTAAATTGCACAATCATTAAAATTAGGAAGTTAACCTTGAGAAAAATACTAGTATTTAATCTAGAGCTATCTATATTTCATCAATTGTCCCAGGAACCAATCTAGAATCATGTATTACCTTTATTTTTCCTGTCTCTTTAATCACTATTAATCTGGAACCATACCTGAGATGGCCATTGTCTTCCATGACCTTGACAGCTTTGAAGGGTATAGATCAGTTATTTTGTTAAATGTCCCTCAAAATGGGTTTGGTCTGAAGTTTTCTCATGATTAGGTCCAGATTATGCAGTTTTTGAAGGAATATGTTTGCATTTTAGATCCTACATCTCCAAATTCATACTTGGATCTGATTATCTAATAGCTACTAGGGATTTTAAATGAGTACCTAGAATCTTTACGTACAAAATTATAAAAATTTTAAAAATCTAGAGCTTTTACAGATAATTCCCAAGCAATCACCAAAAGCGTGTAAGTGCTGCCCCTTGGATTACAAATGGCAATTATAGTGATATGTACATGAACTTGATGGGCTTAGAGTGAGGTATTTAATTTAGATTCTTTGTGTGTGTTGGATTCATGTCTACTGCTCTATGACTATTCGTTCCATAAATGTAATCATTTCTTTCTAAGCACAATCATCTGCTGAAAGCAGATACAGTTCAATAAAGAGCTGCCCTGGGTAGCTGCTCCAGACCCACTGGCATCCTTTTGTAGTTGGCAGGGATGTGTGCACTGCTGGAGGAGGCATACCTTTGGTGATGTTACGAAAAGGCTCCTGATCAAAAGAATGTTCCAGCACCCACATCCCAGCATAGAACTCTCCTCTTATGGGGACGGGAATCAAAACTCTGAGATCCCTTTTTTTTTGGAGATACAGTCTTGCTTTGTTGCCTGGGCTAGAGTGCTGTGGCATCAGCCTAGCTCACTGCAACCTCAAACTCCTGGGCTCAAGCGATCCTCCTGCTTCAGCCTCTCGAGTAGCTGGGACTACAGGCATTCATCACCATGCCTGGCTAATTTTTCTATATATATTTTTGGTTGTCCAGCTAATTTCTTTCTATTTTTAGTAGAGACAGGGTCTTGCTCTTGCTCAGGTTGGTCTTGAACTCCTGAGCTCAAGCGATCTTCCCGCCTCGGCCTCCCAGAAAAACTCTGAGATCCTTAAGCTGTACTAGGCATTCTTAAAACAAACTTTCTCAACAAAATCTGTGAGGAGGAATAATTATCTACATTTTACAGATGAGAAAATTGAGATCCAGAGACTAGCCCACGATTATTCATAGCTAGTGAATGGCAGAGCCCAGAATGACACAGCCCTACTAATTTTTTTATGGATAACATGCATCAGCTTTTTTTTACTAATATATCATACACCTTAAAGTTACAAAAATGGAAATTAAAAAGATGGACTGAAGATGAATTAAACAGTACTTAAAAATAATTTTTACTTATTAATAGTACAAAAATTATTTGTTTTCACTGAAAATATCAGTAGTAGAGTATTTTTAGTAAAAGCAATTAATTCAATATGTCAAATTTACTTAGGCTATCCTTGTTTTTCTTCCTCTTTGTTAATCCAGCATAAAGATCTTTCTAGTAGTAGGGGTAGAGTGAGCTCTGCCACTTAAAAAATTAATCTGGACTTATATTATTAGTAGTATGATCTTCTTCTTCTACTTCCTCTTTATTTTTTGAGACAGTGTCTTGCTCTGTTGCCCAGGCTGGAGTGTGGTGATGTGATCATAGTTGACTGCAGCCTTGAACTCCTGGGTTCAAGGGATCCCCTTACTTCAGCCTCCTGAGTAGCTGGGACTACAGGCATATGCCATCATACCTGGCTAGTTTATTTTTTTGTAGAGATGGGGTCTTGCTCTGTTGTCCAGGCTGGTCTTGAACTCCTGGCCTTAAGCAATCCTACCACCTTGCCCTCCTATAGTGCTAGGATTATAGGTATGAGCTACTGCACCCAGCCCTTAGTATGATCTTAAAGTCTTAAGTCATACATTAGTTCCTTATATAAAAATAAGTTCAGCTAAAACAGCTAAAATCAGATGATATAATCAACAAATACACTCACCAGGTGCAATCTACAATAATTTATGGTATTCTGAGAGCAAAGGGACAAGTGAAGGCACCCAGCCAGTCATCCATTGATCAGGGAAAGTGAGGGTGGCAGGATCAATACATGCATTACATGTTAAATGTAACGATCTCATTTTTATCTTTTTAGATAGCAACAAATGTAAAAGGAAAGTCTCATACCCCGTCTTCCTTACCCCAGCGAACCATCTTGGGACCCCCTCTGTAGGGTTTGTGTACCTTGCTTTGAAGGCTACTGGGCTGTCCCATCTACTGTAACAATTCAATCGCACTGGGGCACAATGGACTGACACCAGTTTCTCTTGGTATTTCAGTCTCTGCCAAGCCTGGGACATCACGATTCCAATCCCTTTCCCAGCTCCTCCTCTGGCACGGGGCAGAAAGCATCCTGGAATGCCCTTCCTGCCCTTGTTTCCATTCAACTCTCATCGCCTGCTACACCTGCCCAGTGGAAAACTCCCCAGACAGCTAGAAATTACACACAAAAGGGATCTAACCTGAACTGAAATACATACACCATAGCTCTCCAACGAAGCAACAGGTGTACCCAAGTATGACTCACCCCGTCTGCAACAGCAGAGCAGAGCTCACTTGTCTACAAAATGTTTGCGTTCAGATGGATGAGGGGTTCTACTGTCTTCAAGTATGATGGGGTTTTCTATAACTACCATAGAAAACCTTTGCGGTGGTTTCCTCAGCATCACCAAGGTTAACTTCAAATCCCTCCTCTTGAGACAGTTTTATAGCAGGGTGCCTGGTAGAGACAGAACTTTCCTTTTCTTTGTAAGTGGGATAACGTCTGTTTGGAAGTGGCTGGCAGTTTTGTCTTTCTGGAGATGGAGACTGACTTCCCAGCTGACTTCCTTTATTTTGGAAAAATTACTAAAATGTATTCCTTAGATTTGCAAATATAAAGAAAGCATCCATTATTTCTCAGAGAAAACGTGGAAGTCATCGAAAATCTGAATGTGGGGTAGTTGATGAACCTATTGCACTATCTTTGTAGTACAGTGAATGTCCTGTGGCTTTACAGGACTGTTCCCTGGATGAGGCAGATAAATATAGTTGCCTCCCTCCCCACTCCCTGAATATGGAATTTGGTTAAAAGTTTGGGTTTCTGCCTATGGTGCTATTTAATGTTGAGGAACTCAGCTACTGGGAAAATGTAGAATTAGCTATTATGACTGCCTCATATGGGGCTTGGAAGTCACCCTGTAGTTTGATAAAATGTTTTCCACCTGAAGGAACATGAGGACTCTCCTGGGGTGGAAAAGGAGAGCCCACTTCTCTCACTCACACAAAAGAATTGGTAGCCGGGACATGCAAGACTTGGAAGGCCAGGAGAGTCTTGTGGATGGGGTTAAGCTGCTTCCCACAACTTGGAAGTCAGCTGGGCTGGGCTGGGACCCTGGGATTAGGTCCCCTTATGTGGACCCCAAGAGTGACTTCTGTTGCTTCTGTTACCCTGAAAGCATTAGGTGAAAACCTACTATCAGCTGTGCTATGGGTGGTTAAAGATGTAGCCTGTTTTAAAATACACCTGAGATTTTGTTTTTATTCGGGTATAGTGAGGCCAACAGATCAGGAGACGATTGTCATTAAAAAATAGTTTTTTACTCATAGTTCCCAAGAGGAGGGGGAACATAGGGAAGGGTCCCGTGGCCACATGGGTAAGCACAAGGGTCTGTGGTCGGCAGTGAGCAGGAGTGAGGGGAAGGCGTGGGTGGGGGCCTGCCGCGTGGTTTTGCTGGGAGGAATAAGTTAGGTGGGGTAAGCAGGCCAGGCAGGTTTAGGATTGGCTAGTTGGAACAATTTCAGTGGGCTCGGAGTTGTAGCAGCTGTCCCAAGTTGTCTGCTGGGTGGCCCTAGGGTGATTCCAAGGGAGGAAGAGCGGTTCAACCTATAAGAGCTCAATAAAGAAGGCAATTGCTGAGTTTGAGCTCCTGATTGGTTGGTTTGCATGTGAAAGGTGTGAACGGTTTG